ACCCACGAGTGTTGCCTAGTTAAAAGGTAGAAGTTAAATTGTTTTATTTAGCTTGTACAATACGTGTAAGGTTCCAGTTATTCAAAACAATTGACCACTTAAAAGATACAAAATAAAAAAAACTGAAAACATACGATCATGGGAATTCCTAATTTCATTGAACTTCTCAATCATTTCTGCCGGACTCCCGTAGACGTTCTGGAAGAAATATATCCCAGTGCATAAGAAAAATGCTGATAATTAGTATTGTGGGGTACAAAATTACCGAGAAAGTGGTTTTGGAATAGCAAAACCATTCAAATTTAAAACTGATTGTCATCGTACCAGGACATACACTTTTTTCTCAGTCAATTTACAACCAAGTATCATCCTTAATTTCATCGTTATCTTCTTTCCGCTCAAGACTTTTTGCTGACTTCAAATGTCACCAAACTCCATATTGTTCTTCAACTACCCAGACAACCCTTACTACTCTCTTCCGCGAAAGTATTATTGAAACAAAACATCACTACATTTTAATGAGGAAGCTGCGTTTTCAACAGCAAGCAAAAGTCATTCATTTAAACCGAGGGTAAGATTCTTTGTTGATGATTTCTTTCGTCAGTTGATTGCTCATTTCTTTCGTAAAATAGGTGAGTCTATTGTATAGTCTTTAAAAATACTGAAGGTCTTTTCAATTAAATCGAGCAAGACAACTAGGAAAAACTTTCTCCAAAGTTCGTCGTTTTTTCTAAAACGATTCCTTCATGCTCTCTCTACATCATATCAGTGAAGTGGAGACGGTTTGTGGTCGTCAAATTTTATTTTTAATTTTAATGAATGAACTGTACTTGCATTCAGAATTATATATTTCTCTCTGAGAAGGTAATAATCATAAACTATACTTTATAGAGCTAATCGTAAAAGTGACTTTAATGGCTCACAGTGAAACGTTGTATCTTTTTAAGAAACCCTATGAAAAGAAAACGGAAAGGGGTCCATCATCAAATCTTTTTTAGTTAAACATTACTGACTGTGCTTTGAAAAACTATTATTTTCTTCCATTTTATGCGTCCACAATGATGCTCGTTTCTAAATAGCTTTCTCCAATTTTGTTCAAATTATTTGTTTTCACTATGCGTTCCATACAACGTTCTTTTTATATTCATTTTCCTTTCATCACAAATTGTGAAGCCCATATTATCACAAATAAAAGTAAATTTATTCTTATTATGAAGAAAAAATGCCTCCTGTGTTCTTTCGAAAGTATAAATACTGTGTCAAGTAGTGCTAATAATGAAAAAGACCTTGAATACGAAAAGTCAAAATTGGATAATGAGTTGCATGGTAATTAATGTATTGTTAGTGTGGAGTTAAAGGGTAACTTTCACCATCTGAAAACGCAATTTTTTCTTTTTGAATAGTTTGTATGTTTTGGAAGAAAACCGATTTACTTTCGGTTTGCCTGAAACGTGTTTGATGCTCATTATACAGACAATGTCTGCTACACAACGACTTTGAGATCATGCATTATGTGTTGAGAAAACACGTTTTCTAAATCTACAGGAGTCTTTTTTCTGACGTTTTGTTACTCGCAATAAAGGAATTATTTTGTCTGCATCATATTCAAATTCTACGTGAATTTTTCATGTAATATTAGATTCAATAACTGCAAAGATGTATTTAAATATTTCATAAATTGCCTTGCTTAAGTTATATTATTGAATTATCTTTTCAATTCTTTCGTAATTTTTTAAATTAGAAAGTTCAGTTCCAAACCTTTGCATGCTATAATCCGTATATAAAGCATAAAAAAATAATATATTGCATGTCTAACGCAAGGGATTACTAATTATTAGTTCAATTAGTATTTTAAATCCTTAATACAAAAGAATGTCGACAAGATGCTTATGGATGAGATCAAGTGAGAATAAGATTGGAACAAGGGGAGACTTGGATAAGTTAGGGAAATGGTAAAATGTGAGCAGGAGGTGGTATGTTCATAACAAAGTGCTGATATCTCGTGACCAAACGCAAGGGCAAGGTGAATCATTATTGCAGGCCGTGCCAAGGGAAGGGAAGGTTGAGATGGAAGAGGTTAAGAGGTAGACGAATAAATATGAGATTGATTCGAAGCAACACGAATGCGAGGGAAGGATGAGATCGTATGAGAAAAGTGTGAACAAGATAGGATCAGGATGAAGACAAGACAAATATGAGACTACGTGGAACTAAGATAAGTGAAAGATCTGTTCATCCAATGTGAAGGTACAGTAAATGGAATAAGAATGAATAAGGTAAAATCCCATGGTTACAAAATGTATACCAGGGTATGTCAAAGTGAGATCAGAATGAGATAGGACAACATTATGAGAATAAGGATGAACATAGTAATATGACGTGTTAGCAGGTGTAACATATGGTAGGAGTAGAGTGAGAACAGGGTTAGAAAAAAGCAGAGACATGGTGAGGATCAGACAGATGGTTGAACAGGTCGTAATCATAGAAACAATGAACGTTCATGCATTCAACAAATATCAAGGTGAAGGGAGGGTCCAAGCGGATGCGATTAAGCAGTTGGGGGCGTGTGGTTATATAATTAAACTGACACAAAACCATTGCAAAAGCAGAATAAGAGGACAGAGGGGATGAAAGCTAATACACTGGGTATTATGTAGAATACGGATGTAAGGCAAATGAAGAAAAGCAAAAACCTGAGACCAAAGTAAGGGCAAGATGTGTTCAGCAATGGTCAGGGAGTGTGAGGAGGGTACAAAATTTAAGATTACATAGATTGCGACATGTGGTTACGAAAAGGAACAGGACTATATCAATGAATGGGCTCAGAACCAATTCGAGGACAGTGTAAGAGATTAGTGTGAACAATGAGTAAAAAATAGGACCTGTGTGAAGACACAATAAGGACAAGGCGAAGACATGAGTTCAAGTACATGTGTGTAAAAAGATCAGGGAAAGACCAGGATGAAAACGAGGCAGAGACTTGGGACCCAGTACTAGTGAAATAAATACAGAACCAGAATTCGTTCAGGAAAAGAACAATGTTAAAACGAGGGACGAACTACCAGGCAGTCGGACCAGCCGCAAACGTGTCACAAGTACCCATGAATAAAATTATTAAAGTGAGGACAGGACGCGAACGAGGCAAAGGTGTGATGTCCAAATACCTCTCGTGAGTAAAAGGAACGGGGTGAGGACAGGGTGGCATCACAGCAGACACATGGAACCAGCAACCAGAGTATTAACTACTGAATTCAGGTGAGAACTGAATAAGGTGAATTCAGGGGGAATACAATTGACTAAATGAGAGAACCAGGTTAGGACAACGTAAAGTTAAGGTACCAAGTACCAGTGAGGGTGGAAACACAGGAACAGGGTGAGTTCACAAGCACAGGATCAGGGTGCAGACGAGTCCACTGCACGCAACCAACCAGCAGCGAGTAAAACAAAAACTAGGTCGATGGGGAAAAGACAGCAGAGGGGGCTTGGTGAGGTGAGGACAGCGCTGGCTGTTTGCAGGGAGGAGGACGAGTACCTGGCAGCCTTCCGGTCGCGGCCTCGCATCCCGCGCACGCCCACGCCGCTGCCGGGCTCGCCCACCTCCCCGCCCCTCTGAGCGGCGACGGCAGCGACATTGACGCCCGCATCGGCAACCATGGAGGAAAGACGTGGGCGAACCGCTGCGCATACTATCCGACTTCACCCAAGAGATTCAGGCACCAGTTTGCGTCACACTAGCGGGAATTTTAATTGCTGACTTTACCAAAATAATCTCCTTGTTACAAGTCATTAAAACAGTTATCCGCAGCATTTAAAAAAAATATCGCATATTTCACTTCAATTATACCTTCAACGTGTAATTTTTCTTTGATAATTATTGCTTTATGCCACTTCAAAAATGTTTCTCAATACGTTTTGCTCGCCATGCAACATGGCGGCCAGCGTCTGGTCTGACTTTTCAAACGAAGTGCCCGAGTGTGGTCACGTGGTTCATGTCGTAAACTGGTACCGCGCCCCGGCCTAGCTCACCCATGTCTTTCCATCATGACGGCAATTACAATAACGACTCCTCGCTTTCAATGGGCCTTTCGGCTCTCTTTTATTATCAAAATATTAAAGCATTATAAAAAACAAAAACTTGTGTTTTGCATAGCACGACACGACACAATAAATACAGGTTGTAATACTGTCTTGCGAAGAAGAAGAAGAAGAAGGCAGGCGGGAAAGCGACGTGCGATCAGTAGTATCCACCTGTAACAGAGACACACAGGTGAGTGGCGTGTCACGAAAAGAAACAGGAAAATGTTAAAATAAATATGTGATTTAAAATAATGTTTTAATAATTCCTATGAATAATGAAAACGAACAATGGAGATGTAATGAATATTAGTTCTCCTACACTCCAGTGTTATAATGACGTATAATTAAAAACTTTTGATGTCAGGGACTGCTTGTTGCCCAGTGTCATGAACATTTTATGATACTCGCGATTATTACCTCATTTAAGATTTTACTGAATTTTTCAACAATTGTCATTTTTATCTTGTCGAATTGTAACAACAGAGGTTCAAATCCGTTTCAGAGTTCGTTTTCCGGAAGTCCTCGCTTAATTCTTCCCTCTTTGGGTTGATACGTAGGCCTTCTCTCATTGTTCTCTCTTAATACCATATTATGACTGTTATGTATTATGCATCGAAAATATTAATAGGGAATAAATATTTAGTAAAAAACTGATGTAGAGATTTTTATTTTATATTGCCCTATCTTTAATCTGTAATTTGTTAAAGAACACTTTAAGTGTATAATTGTTATTTGAACTTTAGTCAGCTGTATTTTGAGAAACATACTGAAAAGCTTATTTACGCAACACTTAAGAACTTTTATTATATTATTCGAAAAAAAGGAGGTTTTTTTTTTGAATTTTGATCTAAAATGTGTCTTCCTTGTATTTGTGTCACTTTGAATCACAATTGAAATCTTAACTGTGAAACTTATTCACTTACCACTACCACCGCTTCCGCTACTGTAGCCACCGCCTCCGCCACTGTACCCTCCTAGACCTCCGCCGCTGTAGCTGCTTCCCCCATGTCCTCCCAACCCACCGCTGCTATAGCCGCCACCTCCGCTGTATCCGCCCAAACCGCCGCCGCCTCCTCCATGGCCACCGCCGAGACTGCTGTAGCTGTAGCCGCTTCCTCCACTGCCACCATGACCACCGCTGCTGTATCCGCCGCCGCCGCCACTGTAACCTCCGCTGCCACCTCCGTGGCCACCACCGAATCCTCCGCTGCTGTAGCCACCTCCTAGCCCTCCGCTGCTGTAGCTGCTTCCGAGTCCACCGCTGCTATAGCTGCTTCCTCCATGACCACCGCTGCTGTAGCTGCCTCCCAGTCCTCCACTGCTGTAGCCGCCTCCCAGTCCTCCACTGCTGTAGCTGCTTCCACCGTGTCCACCTCCGAATCCTCCGCTGCTGTAGCCACCGCTGCCGTGACCACCTCCAAGTCCTCCGCTGCTGTAGCTGCTTCCTCCATGACCACCTCCGAATCCTCCGCTGCTGTAGCTGCTTCCTCCATGGCCACCTCCGAATCCTCCGCCGCTGTAACCGCCTCCCAATCCTCCGCTGCTGTAGCTGCTTCCTCCATGGCCACCTCCGAATCCTCCGCTGCTGTAACCTCCTCCCAATCCGCCGCTGCTGTAGCTGCTTCCTCCATGACCGCCTCCGAATCCACCGCTACCGTAGCCGGTGCCTCCACTATAGAGGCCACCACCGCCGCCGCTGTAGCCACCTCCGCCATGACCACCACTGCTGAAGCTACTACCTCCAAATCCTCCTTTTCCTCCTCCTCCTCCGTAGCCACCGCCGCCGAAGCTACTGCCACTGATTCCCTTGAATCCTGAGCTGTAGCCGCCTCCTCCTCCACTGTAACCGCCGCCTCCACTGCTGTAGCCGCCGCCTCCGCCTCCGCCGAAGGAACTACCCTTGTAGCTGTAGCCGCCTCCGCCGCCACCTCCTATGCCCTTGAATCCGCCGCCACCACCACTGCTGTAATGGTAACCTGAAAACGAGAAAATGGACTTCGTGAGAATACAAGGAGTTTTCGAAAATAAGTGCACTTATAGGAAGAATGTATTCGTAAACCTTAATATTTAAAAATGATTAACCTTTTATGAGTTATATGGCATAGAAGACCAATTTAAAACACAATCAAAAGAAAATAGTTCCTCTTCAAAATATTCCTCTCAAGTCATAATAATTTAAGAAGAGTTACACAAAGACTCAAGACTATTTCAGATAAATGCGTGTGACGCATTGTTGCGTATTTCTTATAATGTTTATCTTTTTATTAATGCCAGTAATTTTAACGTATCCATGTAGTGTTGTATCTATTATTAGTTAATTATAAAAAAACTCCATAAAATTATGCGTGAAATAAAGGAAACCACAGATGAAGAGAAAATGATTATCATTCAAACTCGAATTCTTGTTTGTTGCTCTCTCAAATATCTAAAATGGTAAGAAGGTAAGTATTTTCACTCAGGTAATTATTTACAAGAGAGAAAATCGATAAAAACGTTTTAGAAAAGATGAAATCTTCTAAATTAAATTAATATGTAAGGCGACTAGATCTCACAAAATTGCCGAAAACGAAAAGAAGAACTTCTATAGTTAGTGAAAAACTCCAATCTATTGAAATCGTAAATACAGGCCAACCACTAAGCAAAATATTTTATAAACTAATAAACCTCATGGTAAAAATGCCAGGCAAAAATAATTTATTAATCAAGTAAATAGTTGAAAAGAGTGCTTAATAGTAATCATTATAAAACTTGTTCGTCTTTCTGGACGTGTAAAGAATTATTTCTGCTATAAGCCATAACTTTTCTATCGTCACTCTAATACAATTTAATGCTTGTTGGTCACTTAGTTAATGATGGTAAGGAAAATAATATAGTTAGAAAATGCATGTTTGCATTACAATAATGCAACAGCACAATTTTTTATAAATTCAATTTTAAAATTCACGAATAAAATCAGAAATATTGGTCGGTTTGAAATATAAGTAGAATCACAAAGAGTGAATGATACAAAACAAAAAACTCTTATCCACTGAAATAGATGTCAGTCTAGATGTAATTACAATCTAAATGTGGGATTGGCTAACACAATCGGATCGATAGCGAACAGAAGTATTTGTGAGAACTATGATTACATGTTTCCAAAAATGGTTAATTTAAGTTATCGGACTCTAGTATTCAACATTATGAAAACGTAATCTTTATTTCAAAAACTCAATAGTGTGTGCAATAGTGAGGTAGAATATCCCCTAACAGTGCAGGTTAAATACGTTGTAACATCTTCGACTTTTGTATAAGTTACTAATTTCTTTTACATGCAAAGGGGGGGGGGGAGTTTCCATGTCGGCAAACTACGTATGCGACTTCTCCCGGATACTTAACCGTCTCTTTTTAACGAAAGCATTCCTGTGAGTTGCCATAGTCATTATTTTATTAAATGCACCCACGTCGTAATTGAATACCTTTACATCCTTTCACTGAACGTTACTTATGTGAGTTACTTACGAGGACATTGACCTCAGCCATCTGCCTCACGTTCGTCACGGTCATGAGTTTACACAATATTTTCGTGTACTAATGAAAATTAACAGTATGATGCTACTAATCACGTTTCATTATTTAAATATACGTATTATACATAGTAATATAGTAAAATTATTCCAATCATTAAGTTTCTTTCAAAATTGAAACGGTAAGTTTTTTGCACATTTTCATCTGAGAATGAATAATTCTGTTTTATAGGTAGTATACTTAATTACAATGCAGAACCTGATATTCGTTGATTACATTTGAAAGGCCTGTTTGCACGACTCAGATATTTCAAACTATTAAGCTGCATTTGAGAATCTTATCAAGTATCCATCGATCAAGGACATGAAGACGTCTCTCGCCGTGCGCTCCGATTCCTGCCGCCTATATGGCTGCAGGCGGTGCGGTGCCGCTGACTGCTTGCTTTCGCTCCCGAGAAAGAGACGGAGAAAGAGAGAGGGGGAGAGAGCGTGTGACCCAGACCTTGGCTGGAAATGGCCATGACGTTCATCACTTCGCGGCTCGTTTTTGCTGAATTCTTCACGAAAACCTGTTGCAGAATAATCGCGCCTACCTTATTATAGCTTTCTCTCGACCCATCCTTTATTTCTAAATATCTAATGAGCACTACTAAGGCTTTCAAAATTTTCTGATTGTTTTCTTTTCATTAAATGAAATAATGTCATGGATAAAAAGCTTCATTTTTGAGTTACTCATAAAACGGTGATACATGAACGTTGTATTTGAGTTGGTAAAATCAAATTTATTTGCGTAGTAGGTCAATTACGTATTGGAATAACGTGAAAACTTAATATTTAAATTTCAAATTCTTCAAATCAAAGGATTTTTTTCTTGTAATGCGGTTGAGGGTAATATTTCTTATAGCATGTGCACGTTTTCTAACAAGTTTGACAAAAGGTGTTCGTAACAGTAATTTTCGTAGGTTCTTCTTAAAAATGATTCAAAACTATCAATTAAATAAATATTTTTTGTTAATTAATAAGTATAAAAGAGATGTCAATAACAATGGTTTTAATGTTTTTTAGTTTAAAACCATTATCCATACATTTTTCGGGAACAATTTTCCCCATCCCGAAACACAGTTTAAAATTGAAAACATTTAAGTTGTTGTGGTTGATATTTTTTATTATTTTTAATTATGGATTACCTCCATATCTCCGCTCACACCTATGAATTTATTTAAATTCTTGTTGCTCGTACAGATCGATGATTCCCCAGAAGAAGGCTTATAATTCTCACAGATTATAATAAATTGATTACGAATATAACTTACTTATACTTAATATAAATGCGCAAAATATTTTACTCTTAACAAGCGTGTATAGAATCTGTTAATAAATGTAATCTAGATGTTTCGAGACGCAGACTAAGAAAATACTTTTAGACCTTAGTTGATGCTTCTCTATGCACATTAAATTTGCCGTTATGAATTCGACCTTCCGACTCGAAAATTAACGTCAAACAAACCTTTACCTGTTTAATGAATTTCATGGCAAAATTCATTGGTCTTCGATCTCGCAGCGCTATGATTTGGACCTCCGATCTGGCAGCGTACGGAGTGTAATTGATTGGATGCGGTAACATCATGGGATGATGTATGTTTGTTGCAACGATTCATACATATTTAAAGGAAATAATAAATTCAAATTGAAATATTCTTGACTACTTTTAAAAGTTATATAAATGTGTAGCTTTTTCAATCCACAAACTATGCTTTCTACAAATACATTTAACGAAATTTTTCGTAATGCATTATTTTTTATGTCCTTTGAATGCATGAATGAAGATTAAAGATTGTTTGAAATTTAAGAAATTATTAAAAACAAAAATGACGTAAAATTGAAAAGTACTGTTAAAAAATTAATTATATACGTGTAGTAATATTTTTTACGAAGATTCGGAATCGCTTAGAATGCATCGATTAGTTTCGACTTCCATGTGCGAGGCAATTTTCATTCTTACCGCTAGATGGAGGTTCTGCTGTAGACGGTGTCAAAAGTACTGCAGCACTCAGAACGAGCAGTTTCCACGAGTTTATCTGAAACAGACAAGAAGAAAGTCAGGTCAGTAAATTATTGAATTTCTGTGAATAAAACCTGTAAAGTTGCATGACCTTTTCAAATATGATTGAAATGTGGTCATTTGTAGATTTCTACGGTATTATAATTGTAATAACATTTATTTGAAAACCTATTTACAATTTCATCATATTATTCCTTTAAGATATCGCTCGTTGGCTGCAATAGTGATACAACTAAAAAATACGAATTTTAAGTTAGTGCACTCTCCAAAATTACAGATTGGTCTACCAACTAGCAGTATATCTTACAGTACAGTACTTCACCAACAAATAAAAGTGTGAACGCAAGAATGATGCATTTCAATACAATGTGAAAACTTATAACTAATTTATCTCAACACCTGAGTTTTCGAGTTTTGCCATTATTGCAGCCCACGAACGATATATTAACTTATAGATATTTTTTAAAATTACTATTATCGAATTTTGATAATATACAAAAAGAATTGCACATCTCAAAAATCGTCATTTTCAAGCTAATTGAAGTATTACTATTATTATAAATATTAGGTTTAGTAATAAAACTCTAGTTTATACAATGTTAATATCACACGTTGTGATAAATATAAAAAAGTATGTTTGTATTTGGCCGAAAATAAAGAGCTGCACTCAAAAATAAAATCGTTCTCTTGCCGAATAACAATTATCAGTTTGAGTGACATTTCTTGTCCAATTACATTTTAAAATTCTGCCAATGCTAGCATCTCTCCTGTTCTTCTGACGCGGCGGCTGTCGAGAGACACAAAGCAAAGAACCGATTCCGTTTTCCGGCCGCCAGAGAAAGGGGCAGTAATGAGAGAGAGTCTCGTTTTATTAAAGCGCCGGCGAGGTGCCCGCTGGGGGCGTGGGCGAGCGAGCGAAAGGGGCCGGCCGCTGCACGGCGCAGCGTCGTCCCTGACCTTCTGAGAGCAGCTGGTCACCGCGCCGGCCGCCGCCGCCGTTGCAGCAGCCTTCCTCCGGTGAAGAGGAAACAAAACGGGATGTCGGCCAACCGGTCGAGGCTGCTCTCGGAACAAGAGCTGCTTAAGGAGACTCCCAACGTAAACACGTTTGCCGTGCACGCCGTGAAAGTGATAGGCTGTACAGCTAGTGGAATATCCGTGGGAAGTTCTAATGTCCATTGGACGTGCATCCCACCGTAAATATTGTTTTTGTTCAATGGGTCTACGGCAGAATTTGTTGATTTACAATTTGGAGAGTGACGCGTCTTTGAGACAAATTGACGCAAGAAAAATTGACAAATATTGTCTTTTCAAATTCCATTTTTTCACACAAATTGAAATGTTTAATTACATCAACTTCAGAAAACTCAACTTCACTGGCAAGTTGCACTACCTTCTTTCTCTAAGTAGTTCTACAAATATTAAATGCACGAAGGTCAATCCATCACACAAGATATGTATGATATTCAGTGTTATGTTATCTTCTCCAAATGAAGAATTAAGTAAGTTTAGAAGATGCAAAACAATAAAAATTCCCCTCATTACGTGAAAGATGATATCGGCGTTCACACGATTACACCACCAAACGGGTATGGTGGCCTTATGCATCGATGTGTGAGTGCTCAATGCCTAAGAGCTTCATAAATGTGTAAGAAAATTGTTCTTTTAGTGAGTAATTTTATCCAATTAACTTGCATGTGCTCAAATAATCATGCATAAGATCTATGGGACCAATATATTGTAGATCTATTACCACATTATATTTTTCACACGAAAAACTATCGCAAGAATTTAATCTTTTCGTGAGCTCGGGAGATCCTGTGATGTACTTTTACAGCAATGACTGGATGCGTCCGAACAATGTTACCGACCGCGGTACAGAAATGGAAAGTAGTCACGCTATACTCCTGCCGTACAGATGGCCGAGAACGATACCGTTTGCAAAGAAAAAGCTGGGAAGCACGGCATCACCGATGTTGGTTTTTCTGGCCAATGGCCAACAAGGACGTTCACTGGCTCCATCTGCGGTATGGTCGAGTGCGAGGAGAAAAGGTATTTGGAGGAAAGTGCAGCTCATTAAGGATCCGGTGACCCCCGTCGGGCGATAGGCTGCGGAGAGACGAGAGAAACAGCCCAGTTAGACCGGCCCATCCCGGGTCGGAGCCCTGCATCCCAATGCGAGCGTCTTTCACTTTTCAAGTTTCACCTCGGGTCCCACAATCGATGAGGTATCTCACCTGGCGACTTTAGAAACAATTCGTTGTTTCGTTGTGTAGAAACAATTCGTTAGTTTTGATAGAATTTTTAAGTGGGAATTTGGATAATGATTCAGTGATATTCTTTGCGATTAACATTATTTGTTCGCTACTATGACGACATTTATGAATTGCATTCTTGGAAAGTGCATTGCGAAATCCATTTCATATTGTATTTTATAAGAATTTCATTAAATTTTATTTTGCTCGCTCGTCCTTATTTAGTATTTTATCCTGAGTTGCTACATTTTTATTATTCTTAGCTTGTAGAAAATGTCACCCTTTTTGAAGATTATCGTTTCTTTAAAGTTGACATGAATATTTTCCTTTAACAATTTACTTTAACTATGCCTGATAATGTCTTTCTTGTACTATGCATATTAAATTGCAACGTTTCATACATTTATGGAAGGACAGTCATAAAAATACTCCCATAAAAAGAAGTATTTTTTCAGGCTTGGCCTGAAGTACATAGATAATCTCTTCGTACTTGTAATAACGTGTCACACGTGTGTTACAAATAATTAATATATTTTTAACAGGAGGCTAACTCTTTTATGAGGATTAAAGCAAACAGACTTTTTATCAAAATTGTGCATTGAAAAGCAACTGTAATCTTTTCATGCGTAAGTGTAAGTTGTATTAAATTTTAATGTGTTCTAATAATATTAATTCACTAAAACTCATATTTTCTCAAGCTTAGTTAAAATTAAATAAATACTGTATAAACTCTCCAAAAACACTAGTCGGATTTGAAGTCTAGTTACCTGCATTGAAAACATTACATAAATATGTTCAGTCCATTAACACCCTTATCTGAGCTGGTTTGAAAATTAAGTTAGTAAATATTTTCTTAAAAGGAAAAATATTTTGTAGGGAAGATGATTACGAAATATTAGTCCATTATGTTATCTATAATTTTCTAACCTTAAAATATTCGAAAAATGTAATATTTTTACGATTTAATGACGAGAGAACGTTTACAAAGACGTACTAGCGCTTCTTTTTATCTAATTGCTTCATGGAGCGAAAATTGGAAGAGAATCCCTCGAAAGCAATGGCACGAAATTAAATTTATTTTTAGGTTGGAAATAATTCTTTAAAATATGTAACTAAAACACATAATATTAAAAAAGATTGTTTGTGAATGAATTTCATTGAAAAACTGCCAATTTTTAATTTTTGAAAATATTTTCTTATCCGGAAACAACGTTATCTGACCAATCCTCAACTCACTGTATTCCAAAAAATATCTCGAAAAACATATTGAAGTCGATGACGGCATTTACGAGTAATTAAACATTGTCGTTCACGATCTACAAAGCGTGATAAGTGTTCACATTACACTACAAATGAATCTCACATCGTCTCTCACTATTGTCTAAAAACCTGTGAGTAGTGAGCGACATTAATACAGCCTCTCATCTCGTTTTACGACTAGGAAGCTCCGTGGCGCCCCACTTTCGCCACGCCGGTGGGCGTGTGAGGGCGCGCGTCAGGCCTCGAACCACGCTCCGCGACGGCTGATGGGAGACCTCGCTGCCGTTGCCGCGCTGCGCATTCTAGCGCGGGGGGAAGAAGGACGCATGGAGCTCACACGAGAGCGCGTAATTAGATCAAACAGGGACCAGGCCTTTCAGATCCACGTGCGATAGTGACGTGCTAGACATATTCGTTGTTATTTACTGCATACTACTGCTGGGTAATTCTCTTACGAGTTCATAAAGACAAACGACTGTTATTTATTAACTTGTTTGTTCTGTTTTTTATCTTACAAATAAAATAGGTGTAAAATGGAGATTGACATGGTTGAGTTAGACCTATTATCATTAGTCACGTGTTTTAAATTATTATTTCGACACGTATTTTCGGTCACTCTGTTGCAAAAACGTCCATAAATCGAATTGATGGAAATAAAACTTTCGGCCAATACGAACAATCTATTGTTTCCAACTGCATACAGTTTCCACTACGCCAAAGGCATCAACTACCATTGACGAAAATGAGCGTGCGAAAACACATTCATCAAAGAAAAGATTCACCAAGGCCGACGGACACGGCCGAAACAAGTGAAAACGCTAGGTGACGTCACCTTGCCACACAAACGCACGAGCCTCGAACGGTACGCGCTGTGTGTGTCGGTCGTTCTCCTCACGTGACCTCAAAAGGTGCTCCGCTGCGGGCCCCAGCTCTCGGAGGCCATGTCTCATTACCCCTCGCGAGCACCACCCAACACTTTGCACGGCGCGTGCGCGCGCTCTCGCCGGGCGCGCGGGAAGGCTCGCCTTTCAGGTCTCCACACTCGCTGCGCCCGCGGTCTACGCTTTTACACAGGGACTCCTCTGTGTTTGGAGACGAGGCGGAGCTAAAGGAGAGATGGGAGGCGGTCGTGTGGAACACTGAGAGAGGAGACACTGCGCAGGGAAAATAAAATACAACAGAAAAAATGTGTTCGACTGTAAGCGTGCTCAAGACACTACAGGCTGTGGGGACATATTGTACCGTCGTCTTTCAGGTCTCCACTCAGGGAGTTTACTAAGTTTATAGATGCACATTGTGTTCGAAAATGAACTAAAGTAAGGCGGCGGACGAGCGGTTGTGTAGAAAGTTGTTAAAAGAGACATCTTACAGGACAGGTAAACCGAAAAACCAACAATATGTTCATAATATTGTTCTCATCGGCCGTCGCAAACCTCTACAAAATATTGGAATAGATCAGTTTTGTAGCGCAGGTTTCGCCTTTCAAGACTCGACACTCTGCGAATTGACAGCCTGTTTTTTCACAAGCGCGTGTCTTTTGAGAGTCGAGGCGGAATTGAAAGAGATGAGAAGGGGGGGTCATGTGGAATACTATTAGAGGAAGCAGCGAAAAAAAACATTATCTGGCTATTTTTAATAAAACTTTAATAATTTTGGGAAATCGTCCAGTCGCAAAGCTCTACAAAATTATAAGATAAATTAGTTCCTCAGAAGGGAGGGTCAGTAGATTCCTAATATAATAACAAAATAATAAATAAGGAACAAAAGGAAAATAGAATATTGAAACAGGAAAAACAATTATTATTTTGAATCTGATTTCTCCCAGACATAGTCAATAAATTGTATAAAGGGCGATTATTATTAATTCGTAATGCGATGGAAGACGTTCATTCATTTAAGATTGTGAGGGGGAATCTAATCAGTTTTAGAATTATATAAACATTTATTTGCACCAAGAAACAACTACTTCCTCCGGTTTCTGTCGCCGCGTTTTTCCTGTTTTTTCAGTTATGCACTCTGAATAGCAACCATCGTAGTACAAGTTCTAGGTAGGAATTATGGTTCAGGGACCGTCACGACCATGGGTTTTCACCCTGACTGCGATTTTAAATAATGGATTTAAGCATATTTTGCTTAAGCAAATGCCTTCTCAAGGCAATAAGATGAGTCGTATCGTATTGTTTCTAAGAACCATGAAGCCGGCGGACTATAACTCTGTTTTATTTAGAAGGAAGACAATAGAACACAGTCTTAGAAAGATACTTACTTTGTCATTCGCGTTAATTAGTTGAGAAATTTGTTTTCGTGATTAAAATTCATCATTGGCTTGCGTAATTTGGCTCAAGCTTACTTGCATATTTTTGTGCTAATGCGTTAGAGTATAAAACGAAACGAAAAGAATTTTTGCAAAATGTAAGTATTGCTCATGATGTAAATTATTATTTCAGAAATAAAAAAGATCATTTTCATCCTCATTCCTATAAGGATCCTAGAATGTAAGTGAACAGAATTATGATTAGTAATGTTTTGATGTAATATTTATTTATTTCTATAACGGGAATTACTTGTATTTATATCCTATATTGTCGAACGAATACTATCGAAGTTTGAAATGAATACTGAAATCACATTATTTTCTAGTTGGTCGACAATAGATGTGAAGTTTTGTAAGAAAAAGATTTTGTTTAGACAGTAACTTGCTTTATCAAATTTCTACAGTAAACATAAAATAGATTAATTTTCAAACATTAACTTAATGTAATTAAAATTACAAGGTTCGAATTAGAATCATATCTTCCTTAATTTTTTTAAAGTTCGAATTTCTTGTAATGAAACAGTATATTTATTAAATAAATACACTTCTATACAATAAAATCACAACAATCGGCTGATTTTGACATTCAAAAATATTGTATTTTCTGTGTATTGTACTTTTTTCTATTATTTATTTTCCAATTTTGCTATTTAGAACTATTTCGAATAAATTATTTTTTGAACACTTTATTACCGATCATAAAACTGGTAGAGTAATGAAATAAAATTGGAGTTAAGAACCCAAGTATTCTCAATATTTGAACTTTCATAAAAAACACAGATTAAATCATGTAGAAATATTTATATATTTTCAATATATCTTTACGTTTGACGAAAATCTCAAAGCCCTTTTTGAGCATTTTATTCGTAAGAAATGTTTTTTCTTATCTTTGTCATTAAATAAATTTACATTAAAGTACGTTAAAAATTTCGATGAATTAAATCAGTTCATCAAAGTGCTCGAGAAATTCTAATTTTGAAATATGCTAAAATTATGAATTTATATAATTTTTTTAACCTGAATATTCATTTTGTGCTATATTTCTTTCCTCTTTTCAATATAATTCAAGATATACTTTTTCCACTCCTCGATCTCCTTTTTTATTTAGAATTGAATGAAGGAAAGTTAACAAACAACTAAAGATGACTATATGATCTAGTCGAATTGCACCTTGGTAGAGACTTTTATCCTATATAGAAAAATCACCGGTACTCCCAGAACGTAAATTCAGGATTCCTTTACTTACACTGGGAATAATATTGAGACGATTCTTAACGCTAAAGAAATTTGGTGAATTCGTTTCCAGGTCAAAATCCTGACCATATTCGTTTTCGAGAAACGCTGCTTCTGAACGCGCCTATCAAATCGTCTGCGCTGCTCCGAGCCACGCGCTGCAGCTGCTCCGCGATGGGAGGAGACGAACGAAGAGTCTCAGAGCGGCGCCCCTGACGCATCGGCAAGGGACGAATCCCGCGACTCGAAGCGGAGACTCGTGCAACCGCTGCGCCGTAGCTGATATATTACCCCTCGCCAACCACTCATCCAAAGGCAGTTGCAGTGGGGTGTCGGTGCAGCGCAAAGTATTTGAATTCCTCTGGAATTTTGCCCTGAGGAAGGGCGCAAAATGACGGCCGAAACGTTGAAATCTGTGCCTAGGACATGGCGTCTCTGTCAGAAAAAGTAGATATTTGTATCTCGCGCCCAAAAGAAAGAAATCGAAATCAGGTTGTTTTGAAAACTATATTTTTGACAGTAAAGCGATAGCTCAACATTTTCTCAAAGAATGGTGAAACTATAGATTATTTTTTATCGGAATAATTAAGAAACATCGTATATACCCCAAAAATCAGGAATTTCTTAAATTTCTTAATCCGCTACCACCCTATCCCCCCCCCGCTTAAAAAGACCAGAGGCATCTTGTTATATGGATTCAAAGGACGAGAAACTGATAATGTTGTACTTATAATAAAATAAAATCTGCCGAGCACGTTTTGTCCTGCAAGAAGTTGCAGAGGTCCACGCAGCGCTCCAATATAGCCCAAGGGCCGACAACTGCTTAATCCGACTCACTCTCCATCCTCGCTTGAGCCGTCACCACATCCGCATCCGCGGGCGCTCCTCGCCCGTTGCCCCGCCCCGCCCAGCCCCGCCCTCGCGTCTTAACGCCCCGAGGGCCTCGGCCACTCTCTCCGCTGCGCGTCGCCTCCGCCGCCCCCGCCCCTCCCTCGCACCACTTTGGAGCATCCGGTCGCGTGCAATAGAGCGCTCGTGACTTGCGCTGTTTGCATAATTACACCCGTGGAGAGTGACTATAGCGCAGGTGCCTTTTTCCTACTCAAAGTTTTAGGACGAGCGTCTTCAAGGTTTTAGAGGATTTGGACTTTATATAGCGGGATCGAAGACGAATGTTGTCTCGTGATTATTCTACAAGCCGTATTTTCAGTGATTTCTTTAAATCATGCCCAGAAGGATGCAGGAACAGTAACCTAAACAACGGGCCACAAACCGCACGAGGCTTTCTTTCCTTATTCAGTCCTCATTCCCATCCTTAGAACCGAGTGATTCTCTGATAAACGTTGGAGATCCGGAATATAGAGGTCAGCGGCCCGTCTCCCACGTCCCAAAAAATTATGTATCTTCATGTGAGGTGAACACGAACTACACACGTCCGAAAGGCAAGAGGCAAACTCCCACGCAAAGGATGGGCTTGAAATCCAGGAAGATATGTAAAGAAATGCTGTAAGTTCTCGTCATTCATCCCGGCTCTCTTCACGTTCTTATATTCTGGTCATCAAATTATGGAAGGCTTAAAATGAGGTCTTAGTCCACGTTAAGGATGGTTTAAGAGAACAAGACTGCAGTGCCTATCTTTGCTTTAGAGCTTATCATAAATTAATGAAACCATTTTTAAGCAAGTTGGTTCGATTTAAAGAGACGGTTATTTCTGTTATTATATTCCAAATACTTTTTTATTAATATGGGAGGTGGTTTTAAGAACGGAATTAAAAGTCTAAAAATAGTGAAGTTGCACTTCAAAGTTACGTTTTAAACCTAATGGAATTTGGATATGTATTATTCATTGTATTGAATATTTGTCTATAATATATTCTTGGGCGAAAGTCTATTTTGGATGTCTGAAAATTCTTAATATATTTTGCGTAAGATTTAAGATATTTAGATGCTTAGAAGTGTATGTGTATGTAAGTAATTCCCCGTACAGTCTCTTGTGATTTCCCGTCTTTTGTGGTAAAAATTTATTCAATGTAAAAATAGGTAGCTGTGAGATTTCAAGCACGAAATTTTTTTAAAATAAAACAGATTTTAACTTTTATATGAAAGTCTTTTTGGGGGTTGTAAGCTGGTAAAGATACGAAAATATTTTGATCATTAGAATGAATTATTACTGACAATCAACATTTGAATATTATCACAATATATTTGCTTAACTCCACGTTATTTTTATACATTTTTAATTGTAGCAAACATGGATTTCTATTAAACTTAGTGTAAGTTGTGTAACATATGTAAGTTGAATACATATTTACATCTAATATGATGGTTTTAGATATTTCAACGATGATTCTGTTATAATTCGACGATAATTTTGATGTAATCTGAATGTGATTGTGACTGTGAACCGGATATTTAGGTTTTAACCTATTGCATTTCTCACATCGTAACGTTATTGTTTTAATAAATACATCCGTTTAAATAGTTTCTGAGCTTAAAACATGAGTCCTACAGATGCTAAGAATATGGTCAAAATGACCCTAAAAGAGAATACGCGTGAATTTCTCAGAAAAAAAAAGATACCAGGTTGGCTTGAGATCTCATTTCTTCATTTGGATTGACTGTAATGTTCCGGTGGTTTGGACGGAGCGTCTGACTCTACTAACTTCCCTGCAACTCATTATAATTTTAATTTTCCACTAAAAAATGGAAGGTGCGTGCCTGCTACTAAACTAGGTACTGAACTGTTTCTTGGAAAGCAGTAAGTGTTATGTTCTCGTTAAAACTTCAGAAAATTCAACGTAATCCTGATTATACAAACTTGAAAAAACACAAATAGAGTTCTCTAGATATTTCTTCTAGGAGAAGAAATATCTAGAGAACCACTTTGGGGACCGAGAGAAATGGTATCTAAGAAGTTACCACCAAGGACTTCACGGTGCATTTAGCGATTCTTTTCCCGCTTGAAGCTTAAGAGGCAATCGAAAGTCCTTCACCCAAGAAATTTTGGAATTGTTCTTGGTTGTTAATTGCAACCACTAATCTAAAAGCGTTTTATTTGTAATATAATTTTTCAAAGGACTATTTAAGAAGTGTAAAAATGTTCTTAAATTTTGTTTTTAAAGAAAATTTTGCCCAAATTCAGAAGTAAAAACATCGAATAAAACTAGTTAGAATTTTAAATTTATTATATCTTTCAATTAATCTACAGATTGATGCTAAGATGATCAGAAAAAATATAAAAGTCGAAAATTAGCTAAATCGACTTTCCAGAAAACTTAAAAAGACGTTTATAAAATGTATAAACTCTGTGCCTTTCTCATGACTTACAGTTCATCTTATAGAATTCTAAGCCTAGCTCTAGTTACATTTTCTAATATTCGCCACAAAAAAATTTATATCAGTAGACCACGACACGTGGAGACTTTGCAGTATTTCAAATTTCAATTTCTTAGCGGTCCTGAATAATATTATTGAATGCACAACGTTTTAAAATTGAACGAAAATACAGATGATTTTTAAAATTTCTAATAAATTATTAAAAATTAAAGAAAGCAACTTCAAATGTTTTACAATTTACCAACCAAAATAGACAAATTAAGCTCGGAACTGGTACTGTAATAAATATTCGTAATCCCTATTCTTTTCAAAATCAAAATTTTTGAAAAAATCTTCCAAACAAACAGAAAAACAGAGAAAAGACTCAACATCTTCATGGTGCGCTCAGGAGCGTTGTCCCCTATCCCATCGAGTACTCACCCGTCCCATGGTGGCGGGTGAGGTTCCGACGGAGAGGACGGAAAGGCGGAGATGAGACTGTGGCTGTCACTGGGCTGCGGGCTCTTTATAGTGGCCGTGGTCGCCTGCCCCGCGCCTCCACCACCAGCTGCCCCGCCTCCGCCGCCGCCGTCGCCGCATCCCACGGGGAAAGCGCGCTCCCTCCACCTGCACACCCTCTCTCCCTCCGCCACCGAAGCCTCTCCACCTCCACCTCTCCCGTCATCGACGACGTCACAACAGCAGCCCCCATCACCGCCGTCAGCTGCTGCCGGCACCGCCACCGATTTGCCCCCGAATGGGATGAAGTGGGTGGATTGAATAAGAATCTTCGGGGCAAACATGTTATCACTAAACTGTGCGGATGACACGCATTGCGATAATGAGGGAATCGCACTATTTAGTGTGATATATAGGGAGATATCGAAGAATGAGATGCAATTTGAGAGATAAAGTAGCATAATACTCGTCTCCAACTACTAACGGTTTTATTAAGGATTAAAGTTTGTAATGTGAAATTTATCATGGTCAATTAGATGATATCGTATAACTAATAACCATTGTTTAATTAACTGACAGATCTTTCGGTATGATTCGGCCAAGACTGATTTCTTCCGAATTTACGGAAAAATTATTGCCAATTTTTTTATCAAGACAATTTTTTAACCATTAAATACTTTTTAGTAAAAGTGTGTTAATATATATAGAGAAAATAGGGCATGAAAAAATGTGTAGACATAAAATAGAGGATTCTATTGTACACGTTTTTTACAAGATGTTCATGTAATGGGACGTATTTATGATAAATCTATAATAGAGTATTTCGTAGGGAAATTACGAAAATATTACTATTAAATAAACGAAACCATCGATAACGAGTTAATTCTGGATATAAAAGAAAATTATTGCCACAATTCACTTTCGGGTATTTTTTGTCATTAACATACAAACGTTCAAAATAAACAGACATATTGTTTAACTTTAACAAAACACGAGACATGATTATATTTTTATTTATTAGATTATACTATGGATTATCGTATTTATTTTTAATTGTGCAATCAAGTCTTCAAGAGCCGGAATATTCTGGGTTCGAGTTCTGAACTGTTAACACAGCTGTAGAGGTGGGTTTTAGGACGCTACTGCCTGACTGAGAAGTCTATTCATCGCATGCATGGAACGGACCTTTCCATGGTTTTCTTCTATCTTAGGCGGATGTCGGAACAGAACTCTAAACATCGCGCCATGGACCGCGGTCTATATTTCGACCCATTCTTTTCTTACCTCCTTCTCTCCCATTTTGGAGTCGGGAGAGAAGCTGAACCCCTCACCTCATTAGACCCCATCAACTTGAACTAAAAAGACTCCCGTGACGTTGGAAGTACATGAAGATTATATTAGGAGAAGACCGAAGTTCGGCTGTAGCAACGACATAGGAAGAAAAGCAAGATGTGATATTTACAATCAACAAAAATTGTCGGTTTAGCATCAGAATCACCGGTGAAAGGGCTAAAAAATTTCAAGATCTGGACTTTTGTTAAAAACGAAGATAAAGTTTTAAGAATATTGAATATACGTTTCAATTTGGCAGAAAACGACGTCTTCATTCGCAAGTCTTGTTGCTTCGGTTTTATTTTTTATTTTATTTATATATATAATATATATAAATAATATATAATATATATATAATATATATAATATATATATTATATATATAATATATATAATATTATATTATTATATTTATAGTTTTATTTTAAAAAAATTGTTGTCGGTAGAATACTTGCTGGTATTGATTATTTCGCGTTTCCAATCTTGTCAACAGCTTTGGTCATTACACTCGTAAGTGTAGGGCGTGCTTTATTGCGAGAGGTAGCGGTGCTCCTCTACCGCTGATTGGAGTGATTTGGCGCCAACCTACTCTTCGGCTTGGGGGTTTCCCCCACCATGTATCTCCCACCGGTGGGAGTCGCCCCAGCTGGGACAAGCTCTAGCTCGCGAGGGGTCACATGAGAGATGTGTAGGTAAGGAGTGAGGTTAGGGCAAGGAAGATGAAGAAAAGATTCCTAAGGCACTGCTCCGACATTTGCCTAATGTCCGGAGAACCAGTGAAACTACTGATTAGAGCAGCCGGTTGCTAGAATTCTCCTTCAGACAGCGGCTGAATTTGATCTAGTTATGTAGCCACTGTCTGGACTCTAAACCTAGGACCTCCGTAGAGGCACTGTAAAGACATCAGTTGATACCTTCGGCACCTCATGCGGAGCCTGTTTGGAAACAATCTTGTGGCTGCGCTTTGGACCCACTGTGCGGCACACCTCTCTCCCAGGTGCGTGAGCAGCACGTTTCCCTCGCGATCGCTCTGCTGGGCGCCTCACATCCCCCTCCCCCTTGCC